AAGCCTGGTCCCTTTGGCCCTTCATGATCACACATGTTGGTGTAATACATGTTTCTTGAGTGAACAAGTGAGTAGAACAATGAGTAGCAAGTACTGAATGAAGAAATGAGTGTGTGAACGTATGAAGTAAGCATAGTCCTACTCTCAGGGCCTGAGTTTACCCCTGCTTGGACTTATGAGGGTTCCCCTAAGCCTTAAAAAGAGAGCAACAGTTTGAGACCAGAATTAGAATTTCATCATTTTTATTTTTCCATTTTAGCTCAAAGGTGACTGACAGCTGCTGCCAGAAGAGGCACATAGTCTGGGCTAGCTAGCAAGGGAGTTCCAGGGACCAGGCCTCTCCTCCCGTGGAGTTGGAATTAAGGCCGTACTCCCCAGAGGGGATGGAAATGGGCCACTTTGAAGCTTTTGTGGCCCATCACTTCCAGCAGCCACTCCCAAACGCCAGGCAGGAAGAAGCTGGGAAAGCATTCCATTTGGCAGCGCAGGGCCAGGCAAAGCGAGGCAAGGCAGGGCGCGGTCAGTGTCCAGACACATGGCTCTGACCTGTGGCCCAGTTAGCAAACATAAATCCCAAACTGATCAGCATGAAGAGGACTCCCACAACACCAAAACAAAGGGCCTGCAGGGGAGGAGGAGAGAAGATGGAATTGGTCATGCATCCTCACCTGAGCTCCTCCTGAATGCTCCTCAAACCCTCCGTCCCTTCGAGAGGGTGCTCCATCTATTTTGAACCCACCATAATGTAGCCTCTTCTTCCTCAAAGCCAGCCCCTTTCCGATAATTCTCCTTCCATCTTTCTAGAACCCTCCAGGGAGTGTTCTCATCCTCCACTTTGAAAGTGCTCCCAACCCCAAACAGTCATTCCATCCATCTAGAGCAGCAGTTCTCAACCTGTGGGTCAAGACCCCTTTGGGAGTCAAACGACCCTTTCACAGGGGTCGCCTGATTCATAACAATAGCAAAATGATAGGTATGAAGTAGCAACGAAAATAATGTTATAGTTGGAGGTCCCCATCACATGAGGAACTGCATGAAAGGGTAGCGGATTGGGAAGGTTGAGAACCACTGCTCTAGAGAATGTGCCTTCTCTGCACAATCCCGAGTACTTTGGTTTGAGTCGGTCCCTTTGGGAGTGTTCCCTCTGTCTTCTCGGGACTCTGGTGCTCTCTCTAGGTGCTCTCCTCCCTCCGAAGATCATCTAGTCTTCTAGACCATCTGCCCTTCCCTGAGGACTCCCTTTTCCCCAGCCCTCTCCTGAGAATGTCCCCTGTCTCTAAGCACCCTGCAGAAGGTTCCCTTTTCTCAGCCTTCTCCTGGAATGATTACCTGGATCTTAGACCAGGAGCAGAGGCGCTCCACCTCTGGGGGTACGATACGGAGGTAGAAGATGCTGGGAAGGATGAAGATGAGGCTAGGGGCTGAAGTGGACCCTGGTGGACAAGAAGGACAAGAGTCAACCCAGATCTGGGGTACAATTCAGGCCCCATTCTAGGTGAGATCTGGGATAAGGGGTGGGGGTACTGACCAATAACCCCAAAGATAACCCGGATGTTTGGCACACAGATGACAAGGACGTTGACCAAGATAAGCAGGACCACAGCGATGGCCACGTGCCGTATCCAGCTGAAAGCCTTGCTTGGAAAGAGCAGCTGCTGCAGGGCCCGGCGGATCTGGGAGTGAAAAGGGCAGGGATTAGGCACCAAGGGTCTCCTCCTCATCCACGAGCATCCATCTGCAACACGGCCCTGGATCTGAGATCCCTGCTTCCCCTCCATCTGACTAGCTACATCTCTACCCTGTCCAACCATCAGTGTATACCCCAAGCCTGACTGAGGTCTCTGCCTCCCCTCTCTGGTCATCCATGTCCTTCCTCCTTTGTGACTCTCCATCTGTGCCTCTGAGATCCTGGCCTCACCCTCCACCCAACTGCCCCTACCTCCCTGTATCTGGCCTTCACCCATCCATCTACCTACCTCTGCCTCCTCATCTGATTGTCCTCCCTCCCCTTATGAGATCCTTGACCCTCATGCAGCTCACTAATTCTGTCTTTGCCCATTTTCCGTCCATCCATTTGCCCCATTCTGACTGACCCTCTAGCTATGCCTCCCCCTTCTGTCTAGACATTCATTTATACTTCCTCCTTCCAAGTGACCTGCCACCTATGTTCCTTCTTCTATTTTTCCCCTCCCTGTCCATCTGACAACTCTGCTTTTCCTATCTATCCATCCCTTCCTCCTTCATTCATTCACTCCTACCTCCGCCTTTGATGTTTACACCACCCCCAGCCCAGCCATCCCCTGCCCCTCTACTCCAAGGGTCACTTTTTCCACCACACACAGGGAACAGCACGACTGGCACAGTGAGTGTCACCGCGAGCAGGACGGCCAGGCGCACACAGAGGATGAGCAGGTCATTTGGGCTGTATCTGTGCAGCATCTCTGGCTCGACGCTTTCTAAACAATGGGACATGAAATACAGGATGCAGGGTATGGCGGGCGTACCACGAGTCGTACCCCAGAAACACACACAACCACAAAACAGTTGACAAACAATATATATGCGTGATACATACCGTGCCTTTGGAAATGGAGGGATCACCAGGCATAACGGGGGAAAATCTCAGAAGCCTGTGCTCCGCTTCTGTGCCTAGCCCAGCCTAACCCAAGCCTGACCCTAGTTCCACTCACTGTAGAAGGTGAGGTATCCAAAGGTTGCGGTGAGCCCATACATACAGAACATGGCTCCGATTGACACGTTGGCCACAGCCTGCATCCGGCGCTGGGAGGGCCTAAGGTATAGGTAATGGAACTGTCATGCCCTGACCCATGAACTTGGCCCAAGCCCTTCAGGCTGCCTCTACCTCTCAGAGTTCCTCTTCCCACAGCTGCTGTTCAGCTGATACGCAATGGGATGCCCCTCCCTGCCTCTCCTGTGACTAGCCAAGCCTCCTCTCTGTTCATCGGCACCTCACTCCAGATGACCACCCTTGTCCACCTCTTGTGACTATCTCTGCTTCTCTCCTGCCAGTGACAGTCCCACATTCCAACTGCCCACACCTGCCTCCCCTGCCACCTAATCATCTCTGCTTTCCTACTCTGTCCATCTAGAGCTGTCTGAATATTAAAACAGTAGAATACCATATTAATAAGTAAGCAGGAACCCTGGCGGCATAGTGGTTACGTGTTGGGCTGCTAGCTGCAAGGCCAGCAGTTCAAAACCCACCTTTCCCCTGGAGAAGTATAGAGTTTTCTACTCCCCCAAAGCGTTGCTGTCTTGAAAAACCCATAGGACCACTTCTATCCTGTCCCATACAGTTACTATGAGTCAGAATCAACTTGATGGCTGGGAGAATCAAGAAGCAGTCACTTTCCCGTGTCCTTCTGAGGCCTCCTGGCCACCCTAAATCCCTCCCTTTGCACAACCAAAACTTGTGGTTGTCGTCCAGCCTCTGGCCCATCATGCACGCCCATGCTCTTGCCCACTCACCGACAGAGTTCCGTGTAGATAGGCAGCACCTCGGGGTGGCAGACGAAGGCAAAAGCCATGATGGGCACTGTGTAAGACATCTAGCGGAAAAGTCCAAGTACGTGGGGTTGGAGCCCACAGGGGTCCATGTCTTCCTCTCTACCCCCCACCCCCCACCCCTCCCCGGCCTTGCCATTGTCCTCCTTATCAGATGCATGGCAACTCCAGATGTCTAATACCAGCTTCACAAGAAACAGGGGGCCCCATGTGGCAGGACTGGAAAGCCTGAGTGTGATGCCAACTCCTACACATCTGCACACCCACCTGTGAGTCAATTGTGAACATCTGGGCCTCACAGCTTTTATTAAAGCCCTGAGTGAGATAGTCCACTGCGGTCTCATTGTGGCCCACCACACAGCCAAGTTCAAACTTCTTATAGATGACCTAAGAGGGTTTAGTGGGGGAGCAAGGTATGGAGGAGACTGTATCTCACACTCTCTCCCAATTTGCTCATGTCCTCTCTTTCAGACTCACCGAAATGAGGAAAAACAGCATGCAGACCAGGGAGAGACCACTGCTATATCCCAGGTAGCCTACAAAAAGAAAAAAACACGGCGCTTCCGGAATCAAAATCCAACCTCTATACACAGAGCTTCAGAAATCAAATTCCAGCCCCTATTCTGACATTCAAAGCCTCCCACTGCAATTTCATGAGAATATATATGAATCTTTAATGCTGCACCTTTGCACAAGCTTTCGCTTCTACCTGGAGTGGCCTCCCCTCCATAGCCAACTCCTACTCACCTGTTAAAATAAGCTCTCTGCAGCCCTTGATCATGGGAGCTTTCTCAATCTGGGTTCCCCCTCTCTCATCCTACTTTCCCCAAACCCATCCGGAAAACCTCTTACCTAAGTGTCTCATGAGAGACAGGGGAAGGATGATGACCACACTGACGATGATGATGAAGAGGTTTCCCTTGCAGTACCAGTCCCTAGGAAGATGGGCAGACATCGTGACTAACTCCCAACCAGATCCCTGAATGACGTGGCTCAGAGACACACTCGCATATCAGCTGGACAGGCAGATTTCTGCCTGCCGCAATGATCACTGAACTAACACCCACGTTGTGAGACGTCATCAGGGTGTTTACAGTGGACTGACAGAAATAACAGTCAGGCTGTCATCCAGTTATAATCACTGTGGCACAGCTGAACACATATGCACAACCAGCCAAAACTGTACCAGACTAATAAAGGCCTGTGATCAGATGGTCAGACACTCGGAGGCAGACTCCCATAGTCCAGGTGGCAGATTAAAAGACTGAAGGAAAAGAATGATCCCAGCATGTCTGACAAGGAGAACAATAGTCTGATGATCCGAAAGGCAACAATGCAGTCTGCCAAAAAGTCAGAAACACGTGTGGTTGTTTGGACAGCACAAGGTTTACTGAGCACCTAGAAGAAGCTGGGCGTCTATGACCACAGAGCCACAGCCTACAAAAAACATGAAATAGCAAGAGAATTAGCCAACTGGCCATACCATGGGAACCAAACTCAAAGAAAGAGTGCTATCTGTACACATAAGTAGAAGGAGGTGCCCAATCAAAACAGCCAATGCAGAATCAGCAAGACAATTACTTATTCATTGGAAAGAATTATATTGAGCACCTACTATGTTCCAGACACTCGCATATTCTCCTAGTTCACACACACAGTTATACAGAAGTAAATCAACAAAGCACCATTAGCCATCTACACAGTAGGAGCTAATCATAATCTGTAGACAAACTAGTCCCATAGACTCTCAGCTACTTGATGGTCTCAGAATCGCACCAGACATGTACATGCACACGAGGCACGGTCCATGGAACTTACAAGGGTGGAGTCAACCACCATATACACAAATCTATGCAACATACATGCAATCAGCTGGACACATAGCTGGAACAAAAGTACCATAGTAGACTGTGTGCACACACATGAACACATACCTGAAGTCAGTCATCATATACACATAACCAGACAGATTCAGCCCGCAGGATGGATCCAGAATCAAATAGAGTCAGCTGGATACATAGAGCAACAAATGTATATGATTGGAACATAATACCGAGGACACATACCGTTTTCATCAGGCATCACAGACACACCGAGAGGATTAGCCAAAGCAGCAGTCATCAAATCAAGCACAGAGACGGAGTCTACTCGACACAGTGGGCAAGTCATACACACAGAGTTGGCCCCATAGCGTGCCGCATTCACATACAAGGGGGCTTCAAAAAGTTCTTGGGAATCTTGCATTCCATTATCTTTTAATCTACAACCTTTCTGATGCCCCCTAAAACACACACACACGCCTGAAGTCACCAATCATATATGTACAATCAGACACATTCAGCCAGTTCAATGGACCCAGATTCAAAGCCTCAGAGTCAGCTAGACATGTGAAATCACAGGAATCTAGTGCCAAGCCGAATCACTAGAATCACAAACCCCAGAACACCATGGTTGTCAGTCACCACACAGCAGCCAGTACAACTGTCACTGAATCACCCTCACAGATTTAAGTCTACGTAATATATAGTCACTCATATACAGTCACACATGATCAGCCTTCATACAGAATCAGCCAGAACAACAGTCCCAAAATTCAACACATGGGGTCTACTGAACTCATGCAGCCAAAGTAACAATTCCACATGCTGTTGCCATCATGGTACCCAGGAATCTCAGCCTGCCAAGCTGGCCTGCCCAACGATCTCAAAATAGAACACCTGGGAATCAGCTGGACAAACAGAGTTGAAGATAACAGCTGGGGCTCACCAGCAGAGTTAATAATCTGGGAGGGCACTGTGCGTTTAGCCAAGTGGTGTTGCTCACTTACCTCTCAGGTTCTATCTCCAGGAAGGTGCTGATAACCAGGGGGAGTTCAGATTTGATGATGAACAGGTAACTGGACATGGCTAGTACAGGTAGAGGGAGATATAAGCAAGGCTTCCCTTATCACCCTGTTTTTACCAGCCCGGGGAAGCCCACTTCATCCCACCCTCTTCTTCCAAGCTGACTCCCTACCTTCCCAGAGCCCTCACCTCCAATATTGTGTAGACAGATGACAGCAGCCACCACAGCCTTGCCTGCAGCCCCGAATGCCCTGTGTCCCAGCTGCTCGTAGGCTCGGATGCCTGTGGGGAGGAGCAGTGCAGGAAGAAACAAGAGCTGTGGGTCCCGGAGGCCAAGTCAAGGATAAGGAAGGAGGGGGTCAGAGGCTAGGGGAGCTGGAGAGTTGAAGTAGATGGATTGAATCTAACTGATAAGGATTAAAGTTAGGGCTGGTTTCAGAGTGCAGTCTAGGTGGATCTGACTCTGGGGACTGACACGGGGAAGCTTCGGGGCTAGGGAAAGGTGGTAGAGGTCTTGGAAACAAGATACCACACCACTGTAGGCGTGAAGTCTGGTATCTGGGGCAGTGGGACCCTGGGAACTAAAGCCTGGGGCTGAAAAGTAGGGGTATGGGAATAATGGGCTTCCAAAATAAAGAAGTTCTGGAACTACAAAGTAGGAGTACGAAGTGGGGAGCAGTAGTCTGGGTTGGGAAGGGTCGGATGGGGAATGAGGATTCAAGAATCAGGATACCCTCTGGGAGCCAAGGGGCAGTTTGGGATCTAGAGTCCAAGGGGATGAATCTGGAGTCTAGGCTCTGGGGTTCCAGATCCAGAATCTGAGATTAAAAGTCTGATCCCAGATATAAAGTCTGGAGTTTCATTGAGATTTGGGGTTCCAGGGCCTGCCTATGGGGTTAAGGGAATAAATCTGGAGTCTAGGCGCTCAGATCTGGGTTGAAGTCTGGATCTAGTATCTGCAGTCCAGGCTCTGGGTCTCACCTACAACATCAGCACAGGTCAGCAGCAGATGGATGGAGTATGAAGAAAGAAGTGCGATGCATAGCAGCAGGGCCCTGTGTTGGTAGAACAGCTCAGACTTGACCCTCAGGCCACCTGCCCACTCCACAACACACCCCAGTCTATCCCGACACCCCCCCACGCAGCCCCCGGAAGCCTATGAACTCACAAGAAGAAGAGGACCCCCGTGTGGGCCATGGCATAGGCCAGCCCCAGGATCCCACTGCCCATGATGGCATTGCTGAGGTTGAACACTGACATTCCGAATGACGTCTTCCCCTCTGACTGCAGGCACATATGGGGAGGGGGAACTAAGTAAGGTGACCAAAGAGTGGGGTCAGGGAAAGAGGCTGGGGGAAGGGAGCAGTGGGGAGGGGGACCAACTGAAGCTGGGGAGAAGCTGGGCAATGGAGCGCTGGGAGCAGAGCAACAGGAAAGCGGGCAGCTGGGAAGGGAGAGAATGGAATGGCTGTCCAAGGCCAAACAGCTGGAGAGCGGAGTTGCTGGGGATGGAGGCTGCTGGGAGAGCGAGTCACCCGAGAAAAACCCGAGAGGGGAACCGCTGAGAAGGGAGGTCAGAGGATGGGGGAACAACGGGCAGGGAGAGGAGCGGCAGGGAAAGGAGCTTGAAAGAGGGGGCATCCAGGGGGGTGATGAAGTGAAGAGAAGGCACAGCTAGTGAGGTGAGGAGTTGCTGGGGAAGAGGAGAGAACCTGGGGAGGGTGCAGCTGGGACAGATCCCGAGGGATCACTCACATCCATGAATTGGGCCGGCTTCCTTGAAGGGGCAGGAGTCCCGTGGGGCAGGAAGCCCTCGTGCTCTTGCCTGTAGTTCAACAGGTCAGGGAATAGGAGTTGATTCGAAAGGAACCATGCCTCCTACTCCTACCTCCTTGGACTCCCTGACTCACCCCACAGCACCCCCAGGCCGGGTTCCGTTCATCTTGATATCCTGCAGTTCCATCCTGTGAGTGGGAAAACTGGGTGGGGGAGATCAGAGGTGGGGCGGCGGGGGCTGCGGTACAAAGTGAGGAGAGTCAGTAAAAGCAGCATGAGAGAGGGCACACCGGTTACTCAGACACCCAGGGAGGGGGAGGAGGGGGGTTGGCAGAGAAAGAGAGAGATACGGAGACCAGAAAGTGAAAAAGAAATCAACTCCACACTAGATGCGATGGACATGTGGAGCTGGGATAGCCTCTTCTTCCAACCCCAAGGCTCACTGCCCCCTTCTGCCTCTTTCTTCCCTGTTCCCCACCCCCCTCACCACACGGCCACATTGTTCACTCCTTGCGGTGGCACTGTTGGTTGGGCTGCCCCATCTCCTTTAAGCCCCCATCCCCCCTCTCCGCCTGGGTCTCACCTGATAACTGAGCTGATGCAATCCGGAGAAGAGGCTGTGGGTGAAGAGCAGGCCATCAGTGTTCAGAGCCCTGGCTGCCCCAATTCCTCACTGCCAAAACCCTGGATATCCTAACTAGAGGCCCAAAGATAATTCCCCAATCCGAAGACTCCTCCCACAGGTAGAAGTAACTCAGAGACCCTATTTCATCTCCCTCCTTAGGGCAAGAGGTAATTTTTTAGGAGCCAAATCAAGTCTTAGAATACTTCTCTTCTGGGCAGGAGTTATCTTTGTTGACACTCCCAGACTTGAGATCCTTCCTCTGCTCACGTGCCTCCAGGGAACCTGTTCGAATTCATAATTCTCCATCCTAGGAATAAACTGCCTCTGAGACCCCATCAACATTCCTGTCCCAGGGCCTGCTCTGTCTCTTGGGGCGGGTGTGACTCTGCAGTCCCCATCCAAGCCCGGAGTTCTCTCCTATGAATGGAGCATCTCGGAAGATGCCCTCCGATCCTGAACTCGCTTCCTGGGGAAAGAGGTAGCCCTAAATTCCCAATCATTAAAAGGCCCAATCATCACAAGAGGAAAGTAAAAGGAAAAAGAGGAAAGAACTAGGAAGCAAAGGGCATTTATAAAGGCATGTACATATATAAATATATTTATATATGATGGGGGAAATAGATTTATGTGCATATATTTATAGGTTTAGTATTAAGGTAGCAGATGGACATTGGACCTCCACTCAAGTACTCCCTCAATGCTAGAATACTTTGTACTATTAAACTGGCATTCCATGATGCTAACCTTCCTGACACGATTGCTGAAGACAAAGCAGGTGCATAAGCAAATGTGGTGAAGAAAACTGATGGTGCCCAGCTATCGAAAGATATAGTGTCTGTGGTGTTAAAGGCTTGAAGATAAATAAGTGGCCATCTAGCTCAGAAGCAACAAAGCCCACATGGAAGAAGCACACCAGCCTGTGTGGCGATGAGGTGTCCAAGGGATCAGGTATCCGGCATCAAAGAACAAAAAAATCAAATCATTGTGAATGAGAGGGAGTGCAGAGTGAGGACCCAAGACCCATCTGTAGGCAACAGG